ACATCTCCCTGCACCCATCTTCTCTGTATCTGTTCACTTATCTGTCCATCCATCCTTGCATCCTATCCACCCATGGTACTTTTAACCCTCTTGGGCCCCAGGCCTAGACTTCCAGGCAAAAACACTCTACCCCAGAAGGATTTGCCTTGCTCAAAATTGCAGCATTCTGGAAGCATGGGTAAAGGCTGAGTAGGATCAGGATGTTTGTTTCCTCTTCTCTTCTCCCAGGAGGGTGTGAGCAGAGCCTCAAGAACTGGCCAGGGTAATGGTATTGAGAGCTGTTGCCAGTGCAGGGGATTTCCAGACCACTGCCTCCACTCTTTGAGTTATTTGGTGGCCACTTGCCATTCAGTTGTATCACTTGGTGACCACTGCCTCTCTGCACCAGTCGGAGCCTATTCTCAGCGGCACTCTGCCCAGGGGTCTGCAGATTACACAGCTGTGTCTTCTCTCTCTTCCTGCCAACCTGTGGTAGGCTGCCTCTCCTGTTCAGTACCAAGGGCAAGGCCCTGTGACAAGCACCTGGTATGACAAGGATGAGTTTGACATGAGTAAGACAAGATCCCCACCCATAAGGGGTTTACTGATTAACTGGGGACATCAGGGAAAGGGACTTTCACCATATCCAGGCCTTGTAAGCTGTGTGTAATGTTTCCTCCTTCCCGGGCCTCACTGAACACTGCTCTCAGGTAGTAGCAGGTCCCCAATCACTTTTCCATTACAGAAATCGATAACTTGAATTACTCCGAAATAATGAGCACCTCCATCCTCCTGCAAAACTAATTTTTCTGTGCTTGCATTTGGCCACATGCTTCACTCAGGGTCTGGACTCTGTCTTTATGAGTCAGTCCAGGTCGAAACGGCATCTTGTGTCTGGGTTTGATGTGCTGGGCAGAATGAAGCAGGACTCGTCATCGGGGACTTAGGTTCAAGTCTTTGCTCTGACACTTTCAGCTGTGGTTCCTTGCTGAGCAAGCTACCTAACCACCTGGAGCATCCGTTTCCTCGTGTGTAAAATCGGATTTCAAGTATAACCACCCACCAGAGTGTCAAGGAAGTAAACAGAATAACAATGCACATGAATGTTCCTGCATATATTAAGGAACCAGAGGACCCTTGGATAAATATTTGTTCATTCCATGTAAGTATCTAAAACCTGCTATAAATCTGTATCATGAGGCCATCGTATAATGAGATCCCAGGATCACTTCCACAGTAACAGTAATATCTTAACATTGGAAAAACCAATTATCATTACAAAGATGCATTCTCATAATGTTGTCGATTTACAAATGACAAAGCTGAGGCTTAGGGAAGTTAAGGGAGTGACTGGAGATCTCCTGGCTGGTAGAGCTCTCTGATTACCTTTGCATGGGTCCACCTCCTCCATCCTCCCTGGTTCAAAAATGCAAGCCCTGGTGCCACCCAGGATGCTATGTGTTGGTTCCTGCATCCTGCGTCTAGCAGATGCTGAAATGACAGGTCCTTTGAAGGACCTCTTAAAAGAAGAGCTGTGAGCTCAACACAGTCCACCCTTTGTGCTGCCTGAAAAATATATCCTCCTAGAAGTCGCCTAAGAAGAGCCATGTGGAAACCCCCAAAAGCTAGACTCTGAAAGCAAGCAAAGAAGCTGACATCACCGACCACCTATTTCATGCCAGGCACATTCCAGCCAGTTTCTCACTGATTCCTCAAAATTAGGTGTTCTTCACCTTTTGGGGTGGGACACATACCCTTTGAGAATCTGTTGCAAGCTACAGAGTCTGTGTCTCAGATAAAGATACTGATTATGCATACAAGTGAGAGGGAGGAGGAAGGGTGGAGGTTAAGGTTAAGAACTGGTGTGAAGGTGGGCTGTTTTCAGGTTTTTTCTTAGGCACCAGAGACCTTCTCTTTTGGAAGCCTCATCCTCACCATATCAAACACTTTTGTATATACCTACAACCCACAACAAATAGGAGATATATAAATATATATACAGATATATAAATATATATACACGTCGTGTTGAATTTCAGTTGTCTTGTTTGACATAAGGCATTATATTTATAGATCTTTAATAAAACACTGATTTCAATGTTGTGCTTTCTTTTCCTGTTTTGGAACCAATCAACTCCTGAACAATAAAACAGAAAAAAATGCATGGTTCTTATGTGTACACCACATTGAATTTTCAAAAAGTGAGAACTGTGCGCTAGCAGCTCTCCATGAGAAGCAGAACAGCAGAAATACCCAGGAGCCTCCAGACCCCTCCTTTCCACCCCCTTGCCAAACAAAGTCTTTCACCATAGACAACTGTATCTGACTTGGAATTTGTCCCTAATGGGATCACACAATGTGCCCTCCTGTCCTGCCTGGTTGCTTTCCTGTTGCCAGTGCTTTTATTCAGGCCTCAGGTCTGAACAGTCATATGAAGTGTTACTAGTCCTGTTTCACAACTGAGGAAACTGAGGTTCCCGAGACTCTAGTCCATGCTGATGTCTTGAAGTCAGAGCTCAAAGTCAGGTCCTTGGGTAGATATGAGGCCAAGGCTAGGCGAGGGCACCTTCTGCAGGGACCCTCCTCTTGGGAAGTGGGGAGAGAGGTTCCCAGACCAGCAGTGCCTAGAAGCAGCTGAGCATGACTGTGGGAGAAGAAAGCAGCTTCCTTAGGAGTTCTCCCTTACTCCACCCCTCTAGAGGCCACAGACAGCTTCCAGATGGCTTGGGATTGTGGAGGAAGATTCATAGTCTGAGTGGCTTTCCTGTAGTCTTTTGACTCTCAGATGCAGTACATGATCCCACCACTTGGCGGCACCTCCATCTTCTATAAACCCCATGGTCTTCAAGTCACACAGAACCTGTCTTGACCAAAGAAAAGCAGTCCAGTCAGCAAAGGGAACCAGCCAGCCAAGTGTCAGTGTGTGCAACACGGGGGAAACCAGGCAGTCAGAGCTGCTTGGGATGTGCCAGGCTGACTGTGCCCTTCAGAGAGGACCTTTGAGGGCTTGTGTCTGCCTGGCAAGGGGAAAGCCGTGACATGGCTGAGCCCTAGAGGGAGGCCACTGCCTTTAGAATGGAGCCAAAAGACAGTCTTATTTCACCCAATCTGCCTGCTGGGTCTCCCCCTACCACTCACTGGGCTGTCCCTTGGGTCCTACATGCCTGTGAGCACAGCCCACTCAAATCTGTGCTACTGGGGCATGGAGGTACCAGACCTACCCCCGAACCCTGACACAGCTAGCTGCAGTTCCTTCCCTGGGGAACTGGATCTGCTGGATCCCGCCTTTCAGTGGCATTGTGGGGACTTTGAAACTGGATAGGCCCATCCTCCTCCCTGTAGTTTGCAGTCTCTTGCTTAGATTCAAAGCCAAGCTATACCACTTCCTAATTGTGTGATTTGGGACAATTTAACTTCTATGAGCCTTAGTGTCTTCATTTGTGAAATAGGGATAGTAATCCACACCATGGCAGGTCGCTGGGAGGCCTGAATGATGAATTATGTAGCAGCACACAGTGCCCAGCACACAATAAGCACTAGATAAATGTTAGCTGCCATTTTCTTACCACCTTTGTCACTGCCTTTTGAAAGTGGGCGGGCTGAAAGCCCATCAGCCACTCAGGCACTCAGGGTAGATTTTGCCAGTTTGGAAATCCCCGGCCTTCTTACAGGGCTTCCTCACTAAACTGTATGACTGAGCTTCAAGCCTGGCCTCTGTCTAGAACAAAATTCTCACCCAAGCAGGATTCCAGCATGACCCTCCATGCCACTAGACCAGGCCCCCATGCTCTCCACACACAGCCCAGGACTGAGCAGAGGGAGAAATCCAAGCTCCCCAGAGCTCAAGCACACATCCAACTGTCCTTTAAGGACAGCAAGTGGAAACTTCTGAGCCACCTGAAGTCCCATTCAGCACCACCCAGAGGGGACCTTGCCCCTGACCCCACCCCAAGACCAGAGGTGTTATCCCTGCAGTCTAATGAGATCCCCTCTAGAACAGACCCTTGGCCCACCAATCTGTATGGTGCAACCCTGCTACAACCTCAGGCAACTTTCTGTTGGATCAAGAAACCCCTACTCTAAGCTTATCAATCAGCAATGTGATGTGGGGCAAGTTATTCAACCCCTTTGGGCTTTGTGAGGGTTCAAGTAACCTTTAAACACCCCCTCTGACCTCCAGGATATGATTTTAGCAAAGTGACTGGCACATCCTAGATGGCCAATAAATGCTTAGTTTTATAAAATTCAAGGTATGGTGCTAGAGAGATGGCTCAGCAGTTAAGAGCACTCACTGCTCTTGCAGAGGACCCAGGTTCGAATCCCAGCACCCACATGGTGGCTAAAAACCATCCATAACTCCAGTTCCAGGGAATCCAACGCCCGACGCCCTCTTCTGACCTCCGCAGGCATTGCACCACATGGGTGCACTTATACACATGCAGGCAATACACTCATACAAATAAAAAGTAAAATATTTTTGTATGATGAGTGGTTGTACACATTCCATAGCACACGTGTGGGGCTCAGATGATAACTGTGGAGTTGGTTCTCTCCTTCCACCTTTATGTTGTTCCAGGGTCTGAACTCAAGTCATCAAGCTTGTGTAAGAAATGCTTTATCAGCTGAACCATCTCACCAGCTTTCTCTAAGCTTTATACTGAGTGACCCATGTAATTCCACCCCAAGCAGGGCCTAACAGGGTAAGAAGAACTCAAGAAATGGACACTACCTAACTCACTGATTGATGACTTTCAGTCTGGCTTTCATTTGAATCTCTTCCCTTCACCCAAAGTTGCAAGTTCCCCAAGGATTAAAGATTATAGGACCTGGAGTATCCAGCTCCCCACTGAGTTATAAGTTCCAAGAAGACAAGCGTACCTGTGCCCTGTGTCAGGTCTGCTGCCTCTGCATATATGCACTCAGCTGGCTGGCCCAGGCAGCCTGGCATCTCCTTGCATGAACCTGGGACCCAGAACTAACCCCATCACCATGGGCCAGAGGAAACAGCTTGGAGCCTCAAGCTGGGTAAGTCCTTTTATTGGAAAAGGAAATAAAACAAAAGGCCTCCATTTTGCCCGTACCCAGCCCTCCCGCAGATATGCAAAGCCAGACACAATGTGTAGCCACAGTGTGGTCAGGGAGGGCACAGGCTGTGGTCATTGGTCAGAGGCTAAAGTTCAGGGACCAGGAGGGGATCCTGGCAACAGGGCTCATCAGGCTCAGGCTCCCTGAAGCCTCAGGGGCTCGGCCACCCCTCTCCATCTCTCTATGTCATCTTCTGCTGTCACACGCTGTCCCTGTGGTCAGTAGAAAACCAGGCCCTTTCAGCTCCAGAAGGCTACCTGCAGCGGCTGGTGTTTCCTATGCACATAGCACCTCCTGCCAGCTGAGGTGAGCATCCCCTTTCCATCTTCAGGCCCCAGGCCCTTGGTTATCCCCTTCCCATCAGCTCCCCTGGGCCTTTGGAGCCAGAGCACCATTGACTGGCCAGTCCCTCTTTCCTTGCAAGGCACATTTGCCTTGACTGTGCAGGGAAGCCTTGCCTGAAGGGCCTTAGGGCCCTGACACCTATGCAGGTTGAATATGCAGCATCTGTGGCCCCACTGTGTCATGGGGGCTGAGAGAGGGGCACCAAAGGCCACCAGAGGTTGGCTCTGCTCTCCAGTGACCCCCAACTTCTCCCATTACAATATGAGCAGAAAACTCAAGAGGTGGGAGAAAGGCCAGATGGAAGAGCCAAGTCGGCAGCCCAGCTTCCAGACAGTGACTTACAGAAGGCCAGGAGGGACTCACATGGAGAAGCTGCAGACCACTGTGTATCAAGACAGGGCAGGACACAGCAGTTGTCAGCCCAGCAACCAAGGAGAATACACAAAGTATTTGTTCTCCACACAGACACACTCATGTGTCATGGACAATCACACAGGCGCATGTGTACTCGTGCACAAAGGTTCACTTACACACAGGCATCCATAACTCTGGCACACATGCTCTTGTACACATTTGTATCCACATTCTCATTCTTGTACTCACTCAGATAAACAGATTCATGCACATTCATAGTCACTTGTGAAGGCATTCACACAAGCACTCATGTTCCTACACTTGTGCACTGGTAAACACATGTGAACTCATATTACTCACCCACCCATAAACTCATACACATACATCATTCGTGCACAAGGTACACTACACATGTGTATGTACACACACAAGTACACTCACACATGCAGGCTCTAATATTTGGAAATTGGCTCCAGTTCAGGAAATTCAAGCTTTGTTCAGCTATATCCTTCCAAAAAGTTTTACCGCCCCCCGCCCCCCTCATGGGCCCTCCAGAGCCCCAGCTGTGCACCCTACAACCAGCACCCAGTGGGCTGCTGAGAGGGTCACCTGCTCTGACAGGAAAGCCACAGGAGAGGTCAGGAGCATCTGAATAGGTACCCACCAGGGCACCCATCTCCCCAGATCTCCAATTTGGAGAAAGTGGGATCATAGACAGGCAGGAGCTCTGTGGTGGCCTCCTAGCCTTAGAAAAAGCCCTACAGAACAGGGCTAGAAGGGAAAGTCTGGGCAGACATGGGCTTTGGGATGAGAGATCATGCAGGGTGGGAATTCTCCAGGCCCTCCTTGGAGGGCTTAGGGAAGGAGACAAGGAAGAGAGAGGTTGGCCAAACTGGGTTTTCTTTACCCGCAGCCTTCCCTAGGAAGGCCTGGCTCTAGTGATCCAGACCAGCCCCATGGGGAAAAGAAAGGTGTCTGGTCAGAAAGACTGCCAAGGGGCTAGAGGCTGGTGGCACAGAACATGGGGGAACACGGGGCAGTCACCCTCCCTCCCACACCACGTGGCAGGATGGGCCCAGAGCAAGACTCAGAAGCGGGTGCTCTGGTAACGCAGCCTCCGAAGATCAGCCAGGCCCTCGCTCCGGCCATACACCTCCCTGCAGGGACTCTCGGCCAGTCACCGGGCCCCCGCCCCGCCCCCGCCAGCACTGCTGCTGCCACTGCCACTGCTACTGCCACTGCTGGAGCTGCCACTGCTGCACCGGTCCTCGTAAATGGAGATCTCGATCTGGGGCCACAGTTAAGGAGCTGATCAGGGAAGGTGGGAACCATCCAGAACAAGGCTGGCAAGCGGAAGCCCACCCCTGGTAGAGGCCTGTAGACACAGTTTCTGAGATTCGCAGGGTGGGGACACTGGGCTGGGTGCACAGCCTGATCCCATGGACAACTTCCGGCTCTTGAGGCGCATAGGCTACGAGGCCACAAATAGGAAATGGTGTTAAAATCAACCACTTCTGGTGCTGATCCCCACTGACCCACTCACAAGTTAGGCCAGTCCCTTCACCTGCTAACCATCAATCATCGGATCTGTAAATGGGATAATAAGAGAACCTTGGAGTTCCTTTGCAAATAATTAAATATCTTGTATACTGCACTAGAACTCAATATACCTGAGATAGAATGAGGGTTCAGCGAAAAAGAGAGCATTTAAATGTGTGGTTCTGGGCATTGTTTTCTAAAGTCTATTTTTTCTCTCAGCTTTGCTGTAAAATTTATTTGTTAGCCATTCTACTGTTGCTGCTGCAGGTGGGGAGTTGCACACCTGGTCCCCATGTTCCAGGTGGGGTCAGCAGAACTACCACCCACCCACCCCCACCCTGCCTGTCACCAAGACAGCCACCCTGTGGAGTCCCCTCATCCTAGACCTCAGTTTTCTCCTCTGTGAGCAGCAGATGGTGGGACTCACCATGGGAAATTAAAGGAGACTGTGGAGGGCTTGCAGAGTCCTTTAGGGCCATATAGCCTTATAGTTAAGAGAGCCTGGGCTCCAATCCTGGCTGTGACATTGATCTGCTGCACAACTGAACCAGCTTGTCTTTAGCATTCTCATACACGCAGGAGGGTAGAAAGGGCCCACCTCTTGGAGCTGTGATGAGAATCACATGAAGCTGTATTTTCAAAGCCTTTATATGGCAGCTGACCTATATGAAGCACTGATGACATGCAGTGGTTAAAATACAAACCCAGAAATTCACAAGTAGCCCTAATAACTTAAGGTGGAGGGACACCTATAACCAGTAATGTATAGAACCCTGAGAGGCCCCTTGGGAGACTCCATTTCCTAACAGCATCCCCAAAGATCTCACTGGGTGGGCAGCTCTGTACCCATACAGAGAAGAGCTGGAAGGATACAACCCTCATCCCACGTTCCACAGGGTCTGTGAGCAGCAGGCCCCGAGGAGCAAAGATCTTCTCGTTCTGCTCCTGTATATAGCGAGATATCTTCTTGAGAACCTGCAAAAACAGGGGCCTGTAAGGATGAGTCTATGTCAGAGAAGATGGGGGAGGGGAGGCAGGGAGGCACCACCTTCTCATAGTGGGTCTCCATGCAGAGGAAGATGAAGTAGGCTGTGGCACAGGCCAAGCAGCCCTCCAGGTAGGAACTGCCCCCAATCTTCTCAGCCTCCGCATAAAAGCCATTGAGGGTCTTCACAGTCTCCTCAAAGAGCTGCCGCTCAATCTGGAGGGAGAGAGAGATAGAGCCAGACTATTAGCCTCCCCCAAGTATGAACAGTCCTAGTTGGGGCTAGGATAACAGCACTGAGGCCACATGGGTGAAAGGTGGTAAAATACTGGCACACAGCATGACAGAGGCTGCAGGTGGATCAGAAATAGCACTGGGAGGCAGGAGACCTGGAGTTCAGTTCAGACTTGGCCATGAGCTAGATGTGTGATCTTGGACCCATGGCTTACCCATTGATTGAATACCCATTTCAATCAGATACCCATTGAGGAAACTGGTTTCAGCTTCCTTACCTATAGAACAGGAGACTCCTATGGTGTCCTAGATGTTTTCTGCAGAAGCTCAGATAAGTATGCTAGTGACTGTCACCTCTCATTATGATGGTTGTGCCAGAACTCAATAGAAAATTCCCAGGGGTAGATTCTCCGTATTTGGAAAGAGCCAAAGAGCCTCAACTGCATGAGACTGACAGTGAAAACACAGGAGAGTCTCTTCAGAGGTACCTTTCCTCCCAACTAAAAATGTCTCAAGCCACTCTGTGTGTGTGTGTGTGTGTGTGTGTGTGTGTGTGTGTGTGTATGTGTGTGTGTGTGTGTGTGTGTGTGTGTGTGTGTACAGAGCTAGGAGACTGGCCCCTGCATCCATCCATAAAAATAACAGCAAACACTAAGCATTTTCTATGTCAGTCTTTTATATAGTCTCATGTAACCTCAAAAGCATTCTTGTCACCCAACCCACTCCCTTTTTTTAGGTGAGAATTGCTCTGTAGTCCTGAGACCACAGGACCCTCTGGCCTCAACTCTGGCCTCCCTACCCCAACCACTGCCCTAACTTCCTGTTAAATTAACATCTGTCAAGCCCTCATGGCCTGCCCATGGAATGCCTCTGAGCCTGTCTCCTGTTCTCATCCTCACTGTCCCCTGCTTCCTGAAAATGTCTCGGGCCCTTTATACCTGTGTGTTTAGCTACAGACTCTCTTCACACACACCCAGGGCTCTCCCTGTGCTTCCTCGGGTCTCAACTTAGACAGCCCCCTGACTGTTCACCTCTACTAGCTTGCTCCAGCCCCCTTGAAGCCCTCTGTTCTACTTCTACAGTTTACTACTTCCTGAACTATATGGGTTGTTTTATTGTTGTTGTTGTTGTTTTCTTTTTTCTTTTTCTTTTTTGCTTTTACATTTTCTGTACCATCTAATAGAAAGTAGAATGTGTTCACTTCTCCATCCCCAGCACCTAATACATTCTGGTACTTAGGAAAGAATGCTAAGTGGGCTAAGTGTTACACAGCTCTGACCCCAGAGTCTGTCTCTTTATTATAATCCCAGTACCTCCAATGTCACGTCCAAACTCAGCATGTGTTCAAGTGTCTGCACCCTGTTTGCAGAGTGCCTTCTTACTCCCTCATAAAACCAGATGTATCCATTACATGACTTAGGGATCTCCAAACCTATCTAGGATGAAATTTTTGCCAGAAAGGAAAGGGAAGGGAGCTGGAAGGAGAAGGGGAAGAGAAGGGGAAGGGGAAAGGAGCCCCAGCTCCTCCTCTGGGTCTCTAAGCTGCTTAGATAACAACTCTAATCACACAGCATCTGTTCTTGTCTATACCCACTGAGGATAAAATTGCATCAGTATGACTATCAGAGTCCATCAGAAAAGCAGAGAAGGCAGACACCTGGCCCTTTCAGTGCTTTCTAATAACTTTGGTGAGTCACTTCCTGTTTGTGGGCTTTTAAGGACTCTTCCACTTCTGAAGCTGTAACACACGCATATGCAAAACGGAAGAATTTGAAGATCTAAGGTGGCTCTGAGACCTTGCACTGTTTCTGAGTTCCCAAGAGATGCTGACCTTGTCAACCACAGAACACAGCTTTGAAACAAGAGCTTAATGGTGCTCAATGATAGCTACACACTTTGGCAACTTTTCTTTTTTTCCAGCTGGCCTGGAACTCACTATGTAGATCAGGCTGGCCTTGAACTCACAGAGATCCGCCTACCTCTGCCTCCCAGAGTGCTGGGATTAAAGGTGTGCGCCAACATGCCCAGCTTCCCTGATTTTTTTTTTTTTTTTTGGTCTCTTTTACACTTGGGCAACTTTTAAACCTACAATGCATCCAAGCCTTACTTCCAAGAGATGCTGTCTCAAATAGTCTGGGAAGGAGAGTCAGAGCAACAAAGGCCACTATCATCTTACCCTACCTTGCCAGGCCCCCCATTTCCCAAAGCACACGATGGCCCCAATGCAGGCAAGAGTGAGAAAGAGCAATGCTAGAGGACCAGCTACTCTTCCAGTTGGGTCTATGAACCACTTAATTCCAGTTCACCTGGGAATTCCTCATTTAAAATGGAAGTTTGAACAATTATAATAAAAACAACTTTGAGGGGGCTGGAGAGATAGCTCAGTGGTTAAGAACACTGGTTGTTCTTGCAGAAGACCCAGGTTCGAACCCCAGCACCCACATGGCAGCTAACAACTGTCCATAACTCCAGTTCTAGGGGATCCAACAGCTTCTTCTGTTCTCCTCGGGCAGTGCATGACACAGGTGCACTTACCTACATGCAGGCAATACATGCATACACATTAAATAACAATAATAACTAAAATATTTTAAAAACTTTGAGTTAATATAAAAATTAATTTGCAAAATAAGATGTAAAACAATGCTAGTGCCCAGGCCCCACTCTCAGAGATTCTGATTTAAGTGGTTTAGGGTGCATGTGGATTTTTTCAGCTCCCCAGGAAATTAGTGTGCAGCCAAAGTTAAGGATAGCTGCCAATAAGTGGAGCTTTCTAAACCAACAGCTGCATCAGCAAGTCCAGGTGACACCTAATCTCACCCATTAGGGCTTGCAAATTTACATTTGTTTAACAAGTTCTCTAGAGGATTTTCTCACAGCAGAAATTTGAGACCTGCTAGACTGGAAAAGGTCTGAGATTCTTTCAGAGAACTTTCTCTGAGGGGATGCTAGACAGCATTAAGGATTTGATATTCATTCATTTGAAGTGGCTAAACAAGTCTCATGTC